CCTGTGGATGAGAAAGCATGTCCAGACTCCATGAGCAAATTTTTCCATCAGTCGAGATGCTAATCAGATTGTGTGCATTTTGTGTTCCAACAACATTTACACAATAGACGGGGTGTGTGTGTGCAGCAGCTGACAGTGGCGTTCTTTGCACTGGAGTTCTTTTGTTGCTACGGTTATCCCAAAGCACAATTTGGCCTGAATATGTACCACCAACAACAAGATTCGGATGAAATTTTGCAAACGTAGCAGACATCACAGCTGACTGGCAGTGGAACACATACTCTGGGGTCGTTTTTTTGTATTTCATATTCCATACAAGGGCCACACCATCAGGTTCGTGAGGAGCATCTTCATTATTATTATAGGAAGCCACAAGTAACTCTGGATACTGAGATGACCAATCCAAATAACTAACAACTCGATGCTTTGACCAACGTTCATCAAAAAATTGTCGATTTAATGATAGTTTAGCACCTGCTTGAATCTCTCCTTCTTTGTCTTCCAGATCTCTCCCACTGTAGTCAAAGAAGATGTTAATTTGCTCAGAAAGAGCTCTTTCTACAATTCTTGTAGAATGATCAAAGAAACTTAAAAATTCCTCTGAGTGTAAGATTTGTTGTTTCTCTTCTTCAGTCAGCTCATGAGGGGGAGCTTTACTATCATTTTCTTCATCTTTTTTAGAAGCTTTCTCTTCTTCAGGCTCAGCAGGTGGCTTAGGAGTCACCACATCATCTTCTTCCTCTTCATCTTCTTTGGGTTGGGCCATCACTGGAGTCTGAGTTTCCTTGGTATATGTGACGATTTCTCGAGGAGGAAAGTCAACTTGTGTAATTTTGGCCATTCCAAGCTTAATAGGTCCCCGTCTAGATCCCACAGCACCATCTCCAGAGTCTTGGCTTCCAGCTTCGCTTGGTGTGCTCACAGATTTTGAGGATGGAGACATAGGAGGAGGGACAATAGGAGATTCTGGGGTTAGCCCCATGCTTTGAAGCAATGCTTCGGCTTCTCTTCTTTTTTTTTCAAGATCTGATTCTTCTTGCACAGGAGCAACAGCTTCCTTCTTCTGATCAGTTTCTTTTTTTTTTTTCTTTCTTCTTCTTTTCTCTTCTTTTCTTCTCTGATTTGGGCCAACCGCTGCTTCTTCCGTTCCAACTCAGCCTTTAATTCACTTTTGTCCGACATGTTTGTGACCTCTTGGAAAAGCGATAGGTGAGACAAATGGTTCAGCCCAGTCTGGGGATCCGAAGTATTTCCACTTGGCTAAAGGTGGAAAGCTACGCCTAATACCCCGCGCGCCTAACTCTCAGAATTTCTAATAAGGATAAGTAAAAAGTTAGATAAGGTTTAAAATAATCATATAAATACATAAACAAAAAAATAAGGATGAAGAAAGATTCTAGAAGATAAGACCTACGGAAAGATGAATGTAAATTCTTCAGCAACTTTTTTCATAGGTTAATATGTCAAAGGTGAGTATGGGCATGATATTTAGAAACTAACTTTGCTTTGAAAGAGGGTGCTTTTAGAGAACAGATTACTTAAGGAGGCTTTAGAATCTCATTGGCTAGAGAAATAATTGAGGACATTTGATACTCTGACATTGTTCTCTTCAAAATATTTGCTGAATTCAGACATTTCATGCTTGCTATGGTTTGTGCCTGGGTGTCCCTACAAAGCCTCATGCCATCACGGAGATTGGACTTTTTGGATGTGGCTGATTCCAGAGTTTGTGATTGGTTCATGTTGTAGAGCTGGGATTGGAGTTGTGAGTGCTACACCTGCCAGGGAGTGTGTAGCCTGTGTACAGTATAAGAGACAGAAAGAGGCTCACTCTTTTCCTCCTCTTTTGTGGTTTTTGGTATCTTCTGCAGCCATTAATGGTTGCCCCTCTGCATAGACCCTGCTTTAGAGCCATCCAATAATGGACTGAAACCTCTAAAAACTATAAACTAAATAAAACTTCATTCTTCTAAACTTGGGTGTTAGGTATTTTGTCTCAGCAATGAGAAAAGTATCTAAGACAACGGAGAAGCATAAAAATTAGTTAAAACCAACATTAGCCAAAGCAATTAGTCAAGAGAAAGAAATTAAAGGAATAAAAGATAGGACAGGAAGAAGATAAATTATCATTATTTGCAAATGACATGATATTCTACACAGAAGATCTCCAAAACCCCACCAAATTACTTCTATTTTTAATAATTGAATATGGTAGCATAGCTGGGTATAAAGTAAACATTTAAAAATCAATAGCATTCCTGTAGAAAAACAATAAACTCACTGAGAGAGAAATTAGAGAAGTAATATCTTTCACAAGATCATACAAAAGAAAGAAAGAAAGAAAGAAAGAAAGAAAGAAAGAAAGAAAGAATCAATCAATCAATCAATCTAACAAAAGGAGTAAAAAAAAAATCTATACATTGAAAACTACAAGGGACAACCAGATACCTCAGCTGACTAAAGTGCCTGCTTAGGCAAAGTGCAGTGACCAGGGTTTGATCCCTGGCATGCTGTGCCATCCCTGCTCCCAGGGCATGCTGAGGTGGCAGCTGAGACTGGGCAATATGGTGTGTGCTTGTAATCCCAGCACTTAGGAGGCTGAAAACAGGAGGGTTACTATAAGTCCAAGCTGTGTAGTGAGATCCTATAGACCCTGTACTAAATGCCTAAAAAAAGAAAATTACAGTATTCCTTGCCAAAGACTAAAACTAGACCCATGTCTATCACCACATACTAAACTAAAATCAAGTGTATTAAAGATCTAAATATTAAAACAGAAATACTAAGTCTATTGGAAGAGAAAGCAGGTAGAGCTCTTGACATATGTGTAGTCAGAAATTGTATGAGCAATAGGAAGTATATTGAAGAATCAACAACTGGGATCTCATCTTATTAAAAAGATTTGTGCGTCAAAAAAATCACCAACAGAATGAAAGACAATCCATATAATGGATAAACACTTTAGCCTGTTGTCTCTTGTACAAAGGACTTATATCTAAAACATATAAAGAGTTGAAAAAATTAAACCTTCTAAATTTAAAGATCCAACCTGAAAATTGACATCTGAGACAAATACATCTCAGAGAAAGAAATACAAAGCTGAAATGCTTCTATGAAAAATGTCCTGGGCCAGGGAGACAGTAGAATAAGTGCTTGCCTGGCAAGATCAAGGGCCTGAGTTCAATCCCTGGTTCTGTTAAAAAAAGAAAGAAAGAAAGAAAAATGTCCAACATCACTGTTCACAGGAGAGATGCAAATTATAACATAGAGATTCTATCTCACTCACTCAAGAAACAAATCAACCAATAACAAACAATGACAATGATGTGGGGAAAAAGAAAACCTTCTTCACTGTTAGTGGGAGTGTAGACAGGTGCAACCACTGTGGAAATCAGTGCAGAGATTCCTCAAAATACTAGAATTAGAGGTCTCACTCAGCCCCTCTATTCCCTGCTGGATGTTTTTCTGAAAGAATTAAAAACAGTATACCACAGTGATATATGGGCACTCTTGTTTTTAGTAGCACAATTTGTAATAGCTAAATCTTAGAAACTGAGTATTTAGAAAAATGAAGGCAGGTAAGGATATTTAAGAAACTATTAGAGATACTGAAGTTCAAATCCTGCCAATGTTTGTAAGTGATTCAAGATCATATCACATAGCAGAGATCAGCTTCTACAAGGGGATAGTCATAAATTGTTGGAGAAACATACCCAGATCCTTAACCTGTTTTCTGATAAAGGTAAAAACTATCTATGAAAAAGAAAAGGGTGAAAACCTCATTTAAACTCCCAACTTGATCCTGCTTTAAAAAAATAACAAATTATTGGCTTTTGGTTATAGGCAAAAAAGGCCTTTAATTCACTCCATCACAGGCTGTAAACTGCCACTAAAGGAGAGTAGACTATTTGGCCCTAAAATTCTGTACTGATAAGTAAATGACCTGTTTTGGGGAGGAAAGATACTCACTTCTGCCCAGAATTATGTTCTTATATAAACATAGGTCAGTTTCTCTGCAAGAAAAGCAATGAACCTGCTTTTGGCCAAGATTCTCACTACTAAAAAATAGGGTATGAACCTCCAGTGGAGAAGAATAAGAAAAACCTTCTTATAATAATTACAAAAGGTCAGTGTCTTAGTTATTTTCCTCATTGCTGAGATCAAATATCTGTAATCCAAAGTTAAAGGAGGAAAAGTTTATTTCAGACCACAGTTTGCGGAGATTTCAGTCCATAATTGACTGCTCCGAGGCAGGGTGGCGTGGCAGACACCACTACAGAAAAGAAATAGCTCATGACAGAAAGAGGTCAGCAGAGTAGCACAGCAGTAAGAAACAACTGCAGCCCTCTCTGCCCTTATATTTTGTCCAGAATGCCTAGGTGGGCCTTTCCATTACCCACTACCAAAACTATGCAAAACCAATCAGTAGACTAATTTAGTAGTCACTTACTCGATCCCAGCATAACACATTCTAGATCCAACAGCCCCTGAAAACCGCACCTATGACCAAATTAGATGAGCAGGGAGCACCTAAAACAAGCCATAACACTAAGAGATGGAGCCTCTATACCCCTGCCTGACACATGTCATCCTGAAACTCAGGCAAGATGACTAGAGCAGGAAAATCAAGAAAACACAAAAAATTTTGACTCAGGTAACAGATAATCAGAATGAAGAGTGCTACAGGGATTACTCAAAGCAAAAGTTGGAATAGGCACATTGGGAAATATTTCCCAATAGCTCTGTCTTGACAAGCACAAGGTGGCAGGTCCAATAGAGTGAAAATTGGAGACTGTAATGTACTGTAGTTAATAATCGGAAGCCCAGCTGAATTCTTTTCTAGATTTATGCAACTCCAGGGTGCTAGCAAAGAAGACACTTTTCTGCTTTCTGGTCTAATATTATTTACCTAAAGTTTTACTCTTTTTTACTTTTATGGTGTCTAGCATTTAATTAAACAGCACAAGAGACAAAATATAAAATTCTAATTCATCTTTAATAAATTAAGTGACCAACAGAATCATATATAGAGATATGGATGTTGGAATTGCCAAAATAAGACCTTTAATTTTTTTTTATGTTAAAGGGTATATTAAAAAAATAGATGTCATGCATAGAAAGGAGAAAATTAGGAGAGATGAAGATAAGTAAAAACCAAATGGTAATGATAAAAATGAAAAGTATAATGTCAGACACAAGCAATCAGTAAAATCTGATAGCACAATCAATGTATTGGAAGACAGATACAAATAAATAGAAATTATACAAAGTGGATGACACAAAGGATAAAACTAGCAAAGAGCTGTAAAGCAGTATCAAATTTTACTACACTTATAATTACCAAAAAAAGACAAAGAAGGGACCAAATCGAAGAACTATTAATTGCCTCAATTAGATAATAATTGGATATAATGGTCCTAAATTTTCCTAAAGAGCACAAATTCAAAAGGTCTGATATCCCCAAGTTGGATAAATGCAAAGAAAGCACATTATGCATGTTATTGTTATGTTGGTGGCAAGCCTGTATGTTGAAAATTTTACAATATTTCAGGTGCCCAGCGAGTGTATACCTGTAACTCCAGTCATTTTTGTGGCTGTGTTAGGGAGACCTTGATTCAAAAGAAAAAGAAAATGAGGGTGTAGCATAGTGCTAGAATGCTTAACTAGCATAAGCCAGATCCTGGAGTCCACCCCCAGCAGAACAAAAACAAACAGATGATAGATACATACATACATGACACATAGTTAGATAGATAGATAGATAGATAGATAGATAGATAGATAGATAGACGGACAGACAGACAGACAGACAGACAGACAGACAGACAGACAGATATTACAGGAGATGAAGATAATTGGGGAAATACCCTGTTCTCATGCATCAGAAGATTCAAACCATTATGTCACTTCTTCCTAAGTTGGTCTGTAGAGTCAAAGAAATCACACAGATATTTTAGAAAATAAGAAAGATGCACATATATCATCATGATATGATGTTTTCAGTTCTTCTGGGAAAATACCCAGAAGGTGAATAGCTGGATTGAATGGGATTTCCAGTCTTAGTGTTTTGAGGAGTCTCCACACTGATTTCCATAGTGGTTGTCCAAGCCTACATTCCCACCAGCTGTGGAGAAGGGTTCCTTTCCCCCCATAGCCTCTCCAGCATTTGTTATTAGTTGATTTCTTTATGATAGCCATCTTTTTTTTTTTTTTTTTTTTTTTTTTGGTGATATGGCATCTCAATGTTGTTTTAATTGGCATTGCTT